CTGTAGGGTGCCGGGACCCCGCCCTGGCAAAGGCACTGAGCATTCCTCTGCCCCAGTAGCTCTGGGAGTGGTCTCAATACTCACCACTTGGAATTCATAAATAATGGTCCTCTAATATTAAACATAAATCCACCAAAACAGAGGTTCTGAGATATCTGCTCCAGGCATGGGTTTTTAAGGAGGACAGAGAGGAACCTCAGGTCATCCTCTTGCTTAATTCTCTGCATAAGTTTTCCCTCCTCACCCCTGTGTCTATCCTTGCTCCACTTCTTGCAACTCCATACTGAGTCAGTCCTTGGGCCCACCCCCTGTGGTTGTCCCAGCCCCAGCTGCCCCTGACGGGTAGGCAAGTTTCCGGCTTCTGACACACGTCCCCACCCCCGCCGGGGCACAGCTGTGGAAAACGGCTAAGGTCAGCCTCTAGGGACCCAGAAGACTGCAGTGTGCTGGGGTGGTGGGGGGAGTGGGTGGATTGTGGTGGTGGAGTGGTGGTGTTGTCTCTCCATTGTGTGGAACCCCTGCCTATCCATATCTTTTCCCCACACCCCACTCCCCACTCCCGCCTTGGAGCAAGGAGGTTGAAATGGAAAAGAGACTGGGATGGAAATGGGGTCCCACTGACTTCATCTGGTAGTGCCCAATAGATCAGTTATCACTAGAATTCAGAGTCTCAGACCACACTGAATGCCTGGCTTTGTATTTCCTCTGGAGAGGTGGAAGTATAGGGATGCCCCAAGAGAAGCAGCCAATGGCACCCCTACCCCTGCTCAGGCCTCTACAAACCCAAATCTAAAGTCTAAAAGAATTCTCAGGCTGTACTTTTCCCATTTTAGAGATGCAGAGGAACCTGAGGCCCAGAGGCAGGATTTGACTTATCCAAGTTCACACACACGCAAGTCCAGGGTAGAAGAAAGTCTGTGGGCAGAAACTTTTCTCAGAAGCACCTTTCCAGACTACTCTAGGAATGGAAGGGTGCTGCCCAAACAAAGAATCCTCCGAGAGGTTGTCCTATAAGGCTGGGATACTTCAAGAATGGGATGGAGCTGCAGACAGACCTGTTCACACAGTAGATGTTTGCAAGGTGTTCTGCTGCGTGGCCCCACAAGGTCAGCCTAACCTGTGCACAGAAAGTAGCTTCCACCCACACCTAGTGGTGCTTGGAGCAGAGGAAATTTCTTTGTAAGTGAGGGTTGCTCGTCACCCTGGAGCGGGTCAGCCTCCCGGAATCCCAAAAGGAGCAGCCAGGTCTAATATCAAGGCTACCTAGACTGGCCTTACAGGCCTCCAAATGGCAGCCCAGAGAGGTTATGTGACTAGATGGAAATTGCACAGTATTCCCTAGAAGGCTTCCTTGTCTCAGCCCCCGCTCATCTGCTGCAGTCTGGGTTCGGGAAAGACTAGCAGACAGCTAGTCTTGCCACTGTGCTGAATGCATTCTAGACTTGTGTGTGCAACAGTCTCTTGGCTTCTTTTTCCCAGCAGCAGGGCTTAGGTGCTGAGGGTAGAGACCAGGAAGGGAAACCATTTAATTTATGTACATAGAATTGCTTTTGAAAGTTTTGCAATAGAAAGAAAGCCTGCTTTGGGAATTCTGTTAAGCAGCCAGAGCATCTTTTGATAGCATCCACCTGGGTCTCAGGGAGAGACCTCATCTAATCCGGGTCACACCCTCCTCCTGGTTTCCCCTTTCTCCGCTCCCCGCCACTCCCTACAGCGCACAGTGTAACCTTAGCATCCGAATGCCAGGGGCTGCTATAGTGCTGGATAAGCTTGAGATAGAATCCTGCAGCCTACATCCAGCCCATTTCCCTGCTCTTTCCTCCTACAAAGCAAGGCCTTACAGGGTCCAGCCTGGTTGCTCACTTTGGGAAAGACCAGAGATACCTCTGACATTACTGGATTCTCTCTAAGCTTCATTTAAAAAATATCAAAGAGCGCGCACTGGTGACTCACACCTGTAATCCTAGCTACTCAGGAGACAGAGATCAGGAGTAAGTCAGCCCAGGGAAATAGTTCAAGAGAACCCTACCTTAAAAATACCCAACACTGACTCAAGCAGTAAAGCACTGTCTAGCACGCATGAGGCCCTGAGTTCCAACCCCAGTATCACCACAAAAAGAAAGTATAAAAAAGGGAAAGCAACTGACCTGTGATTACACAGCAAGGGAGGCACAGAGGTTTCTATGATTCCTGCACTTGGATCAGAAGTCTGCCCCAGTAGACCCAGGTCCACTTTAGGAGTTGTTGAAGGAGGGGGGATTAAACAGGTTTTTTAAAAGAGTGGTGTAAATCACCTGTGTTGGGGTTTATTATTATTATCAGCTTGCCCTAGCAGACCAGAAATACCAGGACAAATGATCTCCCAAATATTTAAGACTAGGCAGTCTTTTCTCCTAAGGCCTCAGCTGTCTGTGCCTCTAATGCAAAGGACAATCTCTAAAATGCCACTTTCCAAGGCTTTGTGGGATGAAATTCCAGAAATGGGGAACATTATTATGGTTCTCTCCTGGGCTCATTCCAGAGCTCTGAGACCTAATGCCAGTGCCTAGTAGGAAAGCATTTATTCTATTTAGGTCTCCCTGGCCTAGAAATTAAGGGCTCTCACCATAGATAGCTCACCCAACAGTAGTTTTTCTCCAGTGGGGTCCATGAAGGGAGGACGGAATCTGTCTCCTCTCCCAGCAGGAATAAGAGGTCCAAGAGTAGAGAGGTCATCTTCCAGACCTATTCCTGTCATAACTCCTGCTTTATGAGCTCCATAAGTTCTTGCCTTCTCTGGATCTCTCCTTCCCCTTTCCATACTACAAGGAAGAGCCCCAGGAGGAAGGATCCTAAGTAGCTGCCTGCTCAGTGTTGACTTTGCTTAAACTAGAGCTTAGAGCTAGAAGGATTTATTTTCTCAACATTGTACAGATGGGGAAACTGAGGATGGAGAAAGGAATGTAATACAGTGCTGAAGGAAAGAAAGGGAATTTTAGTGGTCCACAAAAGACCAGAAGTTGGGAAAGGGGAGAGGCACTTGCAGAAATTGGGTCTGGACACACCTTTGAACACCACCCCAAAGTGGTGTCCCAGGCCTGTGCAGAAGTGTAGTATCACCTGAGTTATCCCCTTTCAGAGAAGGAAGCTCTTACCCCAACCCATTGGTGAGGAAGGGGCGTGGCTCTCAGAATTTAAGCTCCAACCCCCCATACTTCCCGCCACACAAACCCCACCCAGTCCAGCAGCACAGAAGAATGAAATGCTTTATTGATTAAATGATTATTCAGGCGATTGAACTAATCAAAGAGCCCATCGACCGCCATGAATTACATTCTTCGTAGACAGCTTCTCAGGAGAGGCAGCATTAGGCCACACAGACCCTCTCCTGACCCTCACACACCTTCAAATTATTTCCAACATATACACAACCTCTAGTCCAAGAGGCAGCCAGCTCTAGGTGTCCCAACTACTAAGGGGCCCATCACCTGGGGAAAGGAAGGCTGTCTGGGAATTGATGGAGAAGAGGGGGTTTCCAGGTTCCTTTTTCTGTACTCTCACTCAGGCAACGCTCTCTGGTTCCTGCCCTCGCTTCTCTTAAGTAACATTCTATGGATACACATCTGTGCCCAGGGAGTTGTCCTGGGATTTGAGGTCTAGGTTCTTTGCCCTTTATTTGGGCTGGAGTAGAGGTAAGGGATCACAGATGGTCCAAGAATTAGGAGGAAGGAAGCTTCTTGCCAGGGATGGGATCTTGTTTGTGTGGAGATTGGAATGATGGCCTAAAGAGGCCCATATAGCAGCTTAGGCCTTAGGGCAGACAGAGGTTTATTGCTCCTGTCTCCTTCTCTCAAAACATAAACACACTCTGCTACCCCATGTCTGGGCCCCTGAGAGACACTGTGCCAACAAGGCCTGTGTGCATTCAGTCATCCCAGCTAAATGCCCAGGTTAGGCACATACATCCACTACTTGCTCTCCTCCATTGGAGCAGCACGCACAGGATAAAACCTAAGCACACAGTGTATGCATGTACATACACACACACACACACACACACACACACGCACCCCAATGTCAGAGACTAGTCTAGGTGAAAGCAAAGACAGGCTGGGGGCCCTAGAAATGTCATCAGTAGTAGCCCACAGGCTCGCTCTCACCTGCCAAAGTTGTGCCTGCCACAGGAGACTCAGGTGTACAAATGCTCGTTTCAACAGTACCCAAAGAGTAAAGCAGTCCATGCTGTATACTGAGGGTCTACTTGCCCTGAATTCAAACCTCCACACCTGTTTCCATCTGCAACAACAAAATGGACCTGGGCCTGAATGCAATGCTTAGCACAGTAGACCCTGATAGGCCCCTGACCCAACAATGTCAGCGCCCAGAGACAGGCACTTTTGTATGTACTGGCATGTACACATTGATGGACATATTGACAGCTGTTGACTTTCAAAAAGGGAGGGGTCACAGTCACTTCTCTCTCAGTTCCAAAATTACTTTGGATATGACAGGTGAACATATCCTCAAAGCAGAAGGTATACACTGAAACACTTATCAAAATTATATCACAACACTCACAAATACAGATTTTGGATATCTAAAAAAACACACAAACACCAACTCATAAATACACTAATACATTCAGGGGTATAGAGATACACACACAGGCACACAAACTCTTGGATGCAATCTCAGATATTTTGAAAATACATATATAGGGACACACAAACTCATGGTCACTCATGCACGCACTGAGCTCCTTATGTAAACAGACCCAAGCTTATATACTTTCAGGTAGACATCAACACATTCAGAAACAGAAAAAAAAAATCAGGCAAACTTGAAGACACTTGAACTGATGCAGAGACATGTGAAAAGACATACAAACAAACTGCAGATAGACACACAGTCATCCCCAAGAAAACACCGCACACCCCCTCCTCCAAGGTCGCCCTGCGTGGGCAGCAGCACAAGATTGGGTCCCAGAGTTAGCGCGTCTAAAGCCGGTATCGCGGACCTACCTGTCCTGCCGGTCCGAGGAGTCGGGTAATTTTTCTCTAAATCCATTTTGATATTTCAGGACTTGATGGAATGGACAGGGAAAAAAAGTTTCCACTTTTTTGTGCCTTTTTTTTTTTTTATTTGGTGCCAGGGGCCGCTCACAGGTCGGAATAATTCAAGCCTTCCGCTTCCCCGCCGAGCCGGGGTAGCTGATCACTGAGCTGAAACTAAACGTTTTAGGTGGAAAAAAAGCGTCCGAAGGCACCGTGAAATGATTAAGGAACTAAAGAGCTTCTCGCCATGTGAGATCATGTCCTGTTCTCGCCAACATCACAAGATGTCCCCAGACACGCCGCGCCCCCAGCGCGCCGCCCCGAACTGTCGGCCGGGAGCTGGGAAAGGGTGTCCACGCTGCGCGGCCGGGCCTGCCCAGCGTGCCAGACGGTGCGGACCGGGTTGGGCCAGGCCGGAGCAGTGCGAAAGGCCAGGAGAGCCCAGTGCAGCCGCCGCGCCGCTCCGGACTTTTATATGGGGTTGGGGGGAGGGAAGGAAGGCTTCAAACAGCGCCCGGCGCTAGTCCGCGCGCCTACGGGGAAGGGGCAGACTGAAGACTAACCCCGAGCCACGGCCTCCGGTCGCACCCTCTACTAAACCTGCGTCAGGGGGTTGTGGCCCTCTGCGCTGTGCTCAGGATTGGTGACCCCCCCCCTCCACGTGCAAAACCCGCTGCGTTGGTGAGAGCAGGCCAGGTTTTGGTCTTACAGAAATTAACCATTCTGCCAACCAGGTGGTTTTGGAGGGTGTGCAGAGGCTAGCGCTGTTGCCAGGTTCAGGGAAGTTCCAACATCCTCAGATTCACCCCTAGGGCGGCGCCCGCCTCCAGGGTTCCCAACCATCCCACCCCCGCCCGGATATGAAGCGTCAAAACTATTGCTGGGCCCCTGACCCTAGGGCAGCTCCAGATCCATAAACTCCCCAAGTTCCACTCAGCCTCCAGGTCCAGGAACTCCTCCCCACAGCAAGTCCCCTTCTGCCCCGGAGCAGAGAGGTTACGCTGTGAAAAGCTGTTGATAAAATCCGGGCCTCCGCTTTGGAGCTTCTGGGCAAAGCAGAACCATCTCAGTAGGTGCTGGAGATGGGCAGTTCTGGACACCTTACCCCCGCCCATACATGGAATCCCACTGCCCTCAGGCCCGGGCAAGTTGCGGCGTCCCGGAACCCCTGGACTTGATTCCAGAGGGGAAATCAGATCGCGAGAGATCGGGCAGAGGTGTGGCATGTCCAACCCGCTCCCTTCTGCCCAGGATCAAGGGTCCCCTCCTCTCTCTCCTCCCAGTCCGAGTCCAGCTGCTGGGCTTGGCCAGTGGAAGCCTGTGGGGCCCTGCTGCGGGGTGGTCGCTGGGGAAAGGATCTCCAGGGCGGGGGAGCGCTCCGTAGGAGGACTCTTGGCCCGCCGGACAATGGCAGTTTCGGAGGGTGACTCGTCCTTCAGCGAGTGTTTGTTTTTTGGAGGGGGTGGTCACGAGGATGGGCCGCAACATAGGGGGAAGAGCCTAGAGTTCGAGCAAAGGGGGTGGGGGGCAGTGGGAACCGGACATCGTGTATCCACTGAGTAGATTTCACCACAATCGGAAACGTGGCTGTGGATTCCCCAGCGGCCCCCCCACCAAGAGGTCTGCGCAGTCCCCCTGCGCCGCCCCCTTTCTGCAGCCCGTGGGTCTGGGTCCCTACTCCACGGTTTGATTTTGGCCATCTCGGTTGGCCTCTCTCTCCGCAGCCCGGTCCCAGCTCGGGCTTCCCGCCCTCCCGCCTTGCCAGCGCGGGAGCAATGCCGGGGAGGAGCGGCCTGTCCGCGCCTGGAGATCAAAAGCCCGGAATTGACATTTCACCCCGGGCTGGGGGCGGGAGTTATTGGCTTTTTTTTTTTTTTTTCTTTCTTTCTTTCTTTCTTTCTATTTAGGGGTTTTGATTTTTGTTTGTTTGTTTTTTGCGTGTGAGTTTTCTTTTCATTATCTATGAGAGAGTCTTTTGTTTCGGGTATTTTTTTTTTCGTGCAATTGATTTTAGAGGGTTTAGGTCTGTGAGTCTCGGTTTTTTGGGGAGGGTTTTATTGTCTGTCTTGTGTGGTTTTATTTATTGTGTTTGGGGCACTTTGTTCTTATAGACTGTCTTTTTGCAACCCTTTGGAAGGGTTTTCCTTCTGCGCAGTGTCTTGATATGTTTTGATTTCCTGTTATGGGTCTCGCGTGTGTATGTGTTGTATTGGTGATTTTTCAGTTTCTTTTGTTTTCTTCGATTTTGATTTCTTAAAAAATGAGCTGTGATTTTTGGATGATGATTTCGGGTTATATGTTGACCTTAGTTTGTTTTTGTGTTTGTGAGCTGCTTTGGTGAGTTTTACGTGTATGTTTGGCTTTGTGAGGATTCTGGGATTATGGGAGGGGGCACCGGCCGCTACTTCGTTCTTTTCGGTACCTAGGAAGAGCGAGGGTTAGGGCGCGCATCATGAATGGTGGGTTTGCCATGCTGCTGAATACCCGACCCCCGGGCCGCGGCGCGCCCTGACTTGGGCGAAACAAACGTGCGTTCCCGAGGGGACGCCCGCTTCTGGCCCCAACTCTGCGGGTCCTTCGGTGCTGGTACTTGGGTCGGAATTCAGAGTCCCGTTACCGCGGTACCCAGGCCTAATGGCGTTCTCTACGCCCACCCTTGTCAGCGGTAGATTGGTGTGTGCTTTCCCCTGTCAGCGTGCTTCTAAATTCTCCGACTCCAGCAGCACTGGGACGAGGGGCGGCTCTCCGCCAAGGCGCAGGTGACAAACCAAATCATTTCGGAGGACACGGAATTGATACTGCGGCCCTAGAGATACGAGGCAAGGAGCCAGGACGCGTGGGGTCTAGGCTCAGATAGGCGTCTAGATTCTTGAAAATTCCCATTTCCCTTGCCTGCAGCAAGGGAAACCCAACTCTGCTCGGCCCGCTCTGATTTGCAGTCATAGATGCAAGCGTTCTCACCCGAGCACAAGCACACACAGCCAGAGAGCGAGCTAGAGCGAGCCAGCGCCTTGGTAGCAGCGGCCTGCAAGGCGGGAACCAGCTCTGGCACAGCCTCAAGGGGGAAACCAAACTGTAGTGACCGGAAATGTTCCGAGGACCGAATAAGGCATTCTTTCTGTTCACGTTGCCGGGACAACACACCAATCTCAACACACATCAGTTTGTTTAATGCTACACCAGGGAAAAAGGACAGACAAATTCAGAGGCAGAGAAACATGCTGGCTAAGCCGGCCTGGAACTACAAGGAGAATCTATAGATAAAGAAATATGGAACAGCCGAGACGAGACTATGGGCAAAGGCAGATTGGAGGCCCAGGAAAGGGGCTGGTGCCGAGGTTTCCTCCCGGCCCCTGCGCGCCCTGGCATCTGTGAGAGGAGAAAGCAGAAACCGAGAACAGAGAGTGACAGGAAAAGAAAAGAGACGCAGATGGGGTTGGCCTAGGCACCCTACGAGCTTCCCTCCAGATAAGACGCCGCAGTCAAGGGAGGGGGAAGCCGACCTCGCGAGGCTAGGGGCCAACGTCGGGCTTCTCCACTTGGCCAGGAGACACCCGGGGGACTGCAGGACTTGTGAGATGGAGACTGGACTCGGTTCCGACGCGGCGATCCCCCTCCCCAGACCTCTAGCCCGGATTCTAGCACAGATTGCCGCTGGGCCTCCTTCTGAGCGAGCCCTGGAGGGAGGTGGGGGTACGACTCCGGCCCTAGGGCTCCCCGCAGGAGCCCGCGCGGAGTGTGGGTGGGAGCAGACATTCAGACAGCAGGCGACGAAGAGGCCCCGCCCTAAAGCCGGGGGCCTGGTTCTGCGGGAGCAGAGCTGGTGGCCCGAGCTGGACTCTCAGGATTCCGGTCCCCGCAGTGCGCACGTGGTACCGCACCTCGGCGGGCGGCCGCCCCTAATGCCCAGCCCCGCCCTGCTTGGTCTGCCAGGCCTGGACCGTGTCATCAGTGCGGGTGGACGCCGAGTCGCGGCAAGCTGGTCCCTTGCGATGTAAACTTGGGGCTTGCTTAGGGGTGGTGCCGGGATGGATGGGGTTGTCTCTCCACCTTCAACTCCGCGCGCTGGGCGCAAGAAGTGCGCACCGTCAGTCAGTTGCTGTCGCGGGGGTTTCAGGCGGTGCCTGCGGCCGAAAGGGCTGAGGACTGTTTTGGGTCAAAACACCCGTTTCTGCTGCTAATGAGGTTCTCTGCTTCGAGAGCTTCGAGCTCTGGCTGCTGTCCCATGGTGCACATGGTGTCCCAGCGATTCGTCGCCCGGAAATACTAGGGTAGTGCTGGAATACACGATGGGGCTGTGTGTTCGGGGAACCTGGTACTCTTGGTGGGTTACTGCTATTGTTGTTTTATTTTACTGCTTTTCTTGCTTTAATTAAAAGTATTATTGAGAGAAACCTCAAAGAGTGCAGACCTGAGTCGTTTAGATGGGTTCATTTAAACTCGAATCCAGTAATTCAATTCAGTTCCACTGCTGGTTTCCAGTGCACAGGTATACATGGCAGACGTCAAGTGTATACGATATACAGATTCGCAGAGACGCGCTTTGAAGGCAACTCAGAGAATTCCGAGATAAAATTTACTCTCCTGGAGTTACAATCGCAATATATGAATATGGAAAACAGGCATTCAGTTGTATTTAGAACTTGCCAGCACGTCCCAACAATTCACTATTACCTAAGAATCCAAAACGAGGCATTGAAAAGATTTGCAAGCATTCTGATTGAAAACAAGTGTAAATCAGTTTGTTTCTTTTTACATTTCCTTTTAACTCTAACAATACCAGAATTTGTAAGTAATAAAATCATATTTTTCTAAAGAAAGCACTTTTCTGTCAGTATTTATCCAATGAACTCTTAGCTCTTCCCAGTCTTTTTTTTCTTGTATTTCACCATGTAATGTGAGCTTTAAATATTCATGCGCCTACACAGACTTACATTCATTTAATGTATTTTAAACTAATAACATTTTAATGTAATATAATTTGATTTCATGAAGTATTGGAACATTTTTAAAGGAGCCCACTCACTTCGCAGGCGATTTGGAGTGAGGGTGAATGCCCCACCTAAACGTTTCTTTTCGTTTTTGACGCA